TATTTACTCATTCATGCACTATATATTATTATGAGCATATATTTGCATATTAAATTATACTTGAATTATCATAACATGTGCATTCATTCATTATATCCTATGGTTTGCTTCATTAATTGGTATTCATGCATATAATCTATAGTACACACCTTTGATATATAACTTATTTTGTGAGAATTATCTCTTCAAGTTCTTTTAAGAACTATATCGATTAAGAAAGTATAATTCTTTATACTTGTGGTGTCAATTCTGTCACCTTGATACTTTTAATTCCTAGTTTCATAACTAGTGGGTTTGAGTCCTCAACACCACCCCTTAATTAAGTTTGCAAATATCGGGGCTATACTCTTCATAGTATAGTTTCTTTTTTAACTTATCTAAGATATTATCTCATTTCATTTCCATTTTCATCCACCATCTTCATTACCTTTCACTTAAACATCAAAGCCATCCTCGTCATCCTACATTGCCGTGCATACCATTACATCAAGGCCATATTCATCAACAACATCCATTGAAGGCCACCATTGCAACACATCTTCCGCAACAACTCTATTTTCATCCTTATATTTTATTCATTTCATATACTAATCCATTTCTTATCTTTATTCATTCCAGCCATACTTATCAAGTCAGGAGCAATACTTGTTATCATTTCCTAGATCGGAACAACAATAAGGCTATCTATAAACTTCATCATTGAGGGGCGTAGATAATCTTACATCAAGTGGTAATCAGAGCATAGTTGGAAGTGATTAGCAAGTGTATTTTGGTGTGCAACATCAAAAGAAAAACAAAAACAAAAAGATTTGAAAAAAGAAAGCAAGGATCCTTCATCAGTTCAAAAGGATTCAAAAGAAAAACACAAAAGAAAAGAAATTTCCAAAAAACAATGTCAAAGGAAAGGTGTATTACAAAGTCAAAACAAGAACAGTGGAGGCCTATTATCAAACTTACTGAAGAAATAACCTTATTGTGTCTCGGAAGGGAACGATTGTAAGTGTTGTTCATGGTTTGTAAGTCACCCTTTCTCTTTTCTTTTCTTTCTTATTCAATCATTTTCTTCTTTCTTGTATTTACCTTTGTCTTCATTGCCTTCTATTTCATTTCTCCCCTAATCAAGTTATTGCAGTGACACACAAGTTGAAGATTTGTTTGCCATAATCTTGAGTTAGTTCTTCAAAGGACTTAACAAGAGAGGTTGAGTGGTAAAAGGCAAAATTGAGTGGGTGAGACCAATAGGGGAATTGATAAAAGCCAAATATATATATTTCCTAGTGAAAACACGAGCGCGAGTGGAGTGATCATCTACTTTTCTTTGGAGTGAACATTATGAGGTTGTGATTGTGTTGGTAAGGTTTTAAATTTTCTTTAATTTTTACTAACAATGTCTTGAGATATTCCATCTTTCCAAACATTGGAAGGCGAACAACAAAGGAAAAACACATTTCACACTTGTTGCCATGTAAATGGTAAAGTGTGTCTTGTAGTTATTGATGGAGAAAGTTGTACAAACATTGCAAGTACATATATGGTAGAAAAGATGGTACTTACAAAAATTAAACATTCCAGCTCTTATGAATTGCAATAGTTGAACGACAAGGAAGAGTTGAAGATCACTGAACAAGTACTTATGCCATTCTGAATCAGAAGGTACAAAGATGAGATTCTATGTGATATGGTGTCTATAAGTACAAATCATTTACTTTCAGGGAGGCCATGGCAATTTGACAAACGGGTTATCCATGATGGATTCACAAATCGGTACTCATTCATCCACAATGAAAAAAAGTCACATTGACTCTATTATCTCCTAACCGAGTGAATGAAGATCAAACTCATTTGAAAATGAGTATTGAAGAAATGAAAGAGAAACTTAAAGACAATTCAATTGAAGAAGAACGTTTGGAGAAAAATTCAAATCCTAAAAATAATTTAGCAACCAACTCCCATTAAACATCCACCCTGGTTTGATATTTTCATTCATCTTGTCAATAGTTTTTCATTTACTTATTTTGATTTATTTTGCAGCAATTCGATTCATATTTATGGTATTATCTTATCAATTAGTGATAGCAAGGTCATTCGAGAATGCCTATAGACGAGACGAAATATCGAGGATGATTATTCTAACCATGAAACTACAAAATTTTTCTTTGATTTTGCAGGATAATCTAAAAGGCACAATTTTTCAAATGGAGGAACCAAGAGACGTAAACCATGGAAGTTTAAAAGACTTACTCTTCAGTTGCCAAAGGTTGCAACTATTCAATCAAAGGACATGACCCTTGGAGAACCAAAAAATGTGTCATTTTGAGTGCCAAAAGTTATGATCGTTCAAGGCAACATATCTTGTGATTCAAAAGACATAATTGTTGGCCATCCAAAAGATGTGAACATGGAGTATACCTTTAACTTACTAATGATTAATAATTCCCTTACTTATGAAAGTCTTCTTTCATTTCAGGACAAGTAAGTTCAAGGTACATATTCAAGGTTGATGACTTTTCGCAAGGATCCTTTCATAAAGGTAATTTTTGGTGTAATAATATCCAAAGAAAGTCCTTTGAAGAAAGATCTTTTCAAAAGGGAATATCTTAAACAAGTTGATGTTGAATGGATAAAATTTGAAGACAAATCAACAACTTTTGAATGTAAATACACTAAGGAGAAGTCACCTTTCGATTTAAGGACAAATCACTTACAAGAAGAGGGATGATGTGAGCCTATCTAGCACCAACTTTCTTCATGACATATTCACATCATTGAAGATCCATCAAGCTCAATCTAAGGGAGTTCTATCTTACTTAATCTTATATTTACTCATTTATGCACTATATATTATTATGAGCATATATTTGCATATTAGATTATACTTGAATTATCATAACATGTGCATTCATTCATTATATCCCATGGTTTGCATCATTGATTGATATTGATGCATATAATTTATAGTACACTCCTTTGATTATATAAACTTATTTTGTGAGAATTCTCTCTTCAAGTTCCTTTAAGAACTATATCAATTAAGAAAGTATAATTCTTTATACTTGTGGCATCACTTCTTTCACCTTAATTCTTCTAATTGCTAGTTTTATAACTAGTGGGTTTGAGTCCTCAACACCACCCCTTGATTAAGTTTGAAAAGATCGGGGCTATACTCTTCATAGTATAGTTTCTTCTTTAAGTTATCTAAGATACTATCTCCTTTCATTTCCATTTCCATCCACCATCTTCATTACCTTTCATCTAAACATCAAAACCATCCTCATCATCCTACATTGTCGTGCATACCATTACATCAAGGCCGTCTTCATCAACAACATTCATTGAAGGCCACCATTGCAATACATCTTCCGCAGCAACTCTTTTTCCATCCTTATCTTTTATTCATTTCATTTCTATTTATTTCCATATTTTATCATTCATATACTAATTCATTTCTTATCTTTATTCATTCCAGCCATACTTATCAAGTCAGGAGCAATACTTGTTATCATTTCCTAGATCGGGACAACAATAAGGCTATCTATAAACTTCATCATTGAGGGACGTAGATAGGCTTACATCAGTTACAAGGTTCAAACCTGTCCTCAACTTTAGTTAAGTTGGCATTTCAAATTGCATCTAACCTTAGTCGTTGTATTCAGGATGATGATGATGATCAGGGCGAGTTTGAGGTGTACAATGTCCAAGGAACATTGAGAGAGTGGGTTACTAGAGATGAAGTTCATCGCTTCATTTTCAAGTTTAGAGATTTCGTACTTGCATATGTGAACCCGAAAAATCAACATGGGGACATTGAATATGTACGCCTCATAAAGATGGTGTCAGGTAAAGCATCTATTCATCCTTGGTTTTTGGTTTCTTAAAGCTAGATGCACATAATATGTTTGGTAATTATTATAAGCGGTAATTTCTTTTTCATATTCTGTTTGTGCTATTAATTGTTCCATTTTGCAGCTAACAAGTGCAGCTTGGAGATTGATTACAAGCAGTTCATTTCTGTTCATCCTAATATTGCTATTTGGCTGGCTGATGCCTCTCAATCTGTCCTAGAAGTTATGGAAGATGTTGCCCAAAGGGTGGTCTTGATTTGCATCCAAACTACAGAAACATCCACCAAAAGATATATATCCGCATTACAAACCTTCCAATTTATGATCAAATTCGGGATATCAGGTAATGTAGAATATTCTCTATGTATCACCATTTGATAATTTTCCTTTTTCTACAGTTTCATTTTTGCCCTTTTATTTGGTCGCTTTCAGGAAAATCCATTTGAACACCATGGTTCGTATTGGGGGTGTTGTGACTAGGCGCTCTGGGGTCTTTCCCCAGTTGCAACAGGTTAAATACGATTGCAACAAGTGTGGAGCAATTTTGGGACCTTTCTTTCAAAATTCATATTCAGAGGTTAAGGTTGGTTCCTGGCTCGAATGCCAATCAAAGGGACCCTTCACTGTCAACATTGAGCAGGTAAATTTATTGCTTTCTTCCATGCACCTGAACCTGACTTATATTTTTTTTGTAGGCAAGAGAGGATTATAAGTTGGATTCTTTTTTTGAGCTTATGTTTGTTAATAAGAATCTAACCTAGCTGTATTTTATTTATATAAGTTCGTGTCTCAACCAACATTTAATTATAGTTATTTAAGACTTCGTTTTTCATTGTATGTTCTGCCTTGCCTTGTTGCAGACGGTATACAGGAACTACCAGAAGCTCACACTCCAGGAAAGCTCGGGAACTGTGTCTGCTGGAAGGCTTCCATGATACAAGGAAGTAATATTGCTCAATGATCTAATTGACTGTGCCCGTCCTGGGGAAGAGATTGTATGATCCTCTTCCAATATTTAATTCATACTTCTTTCAACTGTCAGGAACACTAACTTTTGTTTTGCGTTCCATGCCATTTTTTTCAGGAAGTCACAGGCATTTACACAAATAATTTTGATATGTCATCGAACACAGAAACGGGTTTCCTGTTTTTGCAACTATGATTGAGGCAAACTATGTTACAAAGAAACAGGATCTCTTTTCTGCATACAAGCTCACTCAGGAAGATAAGGAAGACATCGAGAGGTTGGCCAAGGATCCACAAATCGGAGAAACGGTTTTTCATTCATAATACTTTCTTTTATTCTGATCTGTGCTTCTATTTTCTAACAAGTTTTGGAGTGCTCTTTCGGTCAATTTCTTATTTGAATGCTTGATGATTCATTTTTTAGATTATAAAGTCCATTTCTCCCTCAATCTACGGTCATGAAGATATAAAACTGCTATAGCTCGTGCTATGTTTGGAGGCCAGGAGAAAAATGTAGAAGGGAAACCCGACTCCATGGAGATAGAAATGTACTACTTCTAGGTGATCCAGGCACAGCAAAATCACAATTCCTAAAGTATGATTTAGCCCTCTCTGTACTTTGGTGTGAATCAGATATCTTGAACATGCATTTAAAATTTTAAGTTTCTTATTTTAACGTATGTTGAAAAGACGGGGCAGAGAGCTGTTTATACCATTGGCAAAGGTGCTTCTGCTGTGGGGCTGACAGCAGAAGTGCACAAGGATCCTGTAACTAGGGAGTGGACCCTTGAAGCAGGAGCCCTTGTTTTTGCTGACAAAGGGATTTGTCTTATTGATGAGTTCGAAAAAATGAATGACCAAGACAGGTAAGTGAAGCCTAACATAAATATTGGCACTATAATTTAGATAACTTTGTTAACACCTTTCCACATTTCATTTACTTCTTTTAGGGTATTACTTGAGCTGTAAAATTATTGAAACATGTGTATTCAGGGTGAGTATCCATGAAGCAATGGAACAACAAAGCACTAGCATATCAAAAGCTGGGATAGTCACTTCTCTCCAGGCTCGTTGCTCGGTTATTGCTGGAGAATGATATAGTACAACATTTTTAGGCTGTGAATGGAAGATTACCAAAGGAGCACTCGTCATTTCTCGTGGTAAGAAGACTGATACTCTCTATGTAACCTCAAACTTAGAGAATATCATTGCAGTAGCAGATGCTGATGGAAAGTCAAACCTATGGCACCAAAGGCTTGGTCATATGAGCGAGAAAGGGATGAAGACATTTTTGTCAAAAGGGAAGCTGTCAGATCTAAAGAATATAGATGTCGGACTATGTGGGGATTGCATCTTTGACAAACAAAAGAAAGTTAGTTTTGCAAAGATTGGCAAGACACCCAAGGCTGAAAAGTTAGAGTTGGTTCATACTGATGTATGAGGACCATCTCCAGTTCCATCTCTTGTAGGCTCACTATATTATTTCATCTTCATCGATGATTCTACAAGAAAGGTGTGGGTTTATTTTCTGAAGAAGAAATCAGAAGTCTTTGATACCTTCAGAAAATGGAAGGCCATGGTGGAAAATGAGACTGGTTTGAAAGTCAAGCGGTTGAGTTCTGATAATGAAGGAGAGTACAAAAATAGTAGATTTAGATAATTTTGCGCAAACAATGGGATCAAGATGGAGACAACAGTTCTCATGACACCGCAGTAGAATGGCGTAGCAGAGCACATGAACAGAACTCTGAATGAACATTCCAAAAGCATGAGGATAGATGTCGGCTTGCCCAAATTGCTATGGGTTGAAGCTATAAACACTGCAGCTTACCTGATCAACCTTAGGCGCTAAGTTCCCTTGGATGGTGGAATACCAGAGGAATTTTGGAGCAAGAAAGAAATAAACCTTTCACACTTAAGAGTGTTTGGTTGTATTTCTTATGTACACATAAATTCTGCTGAAAGAAGTAAACTTGATGCCAAACCCAACAAATGTGTCTTTGTTGGTTATGGTGGTGATGAATTCGGTTACCGATTTTGGGACTATGAAAATCGGAAGATCATCAGAAGCAGAGATATCATTTTCAATGAGAATGTGATGTACAAAGACATGTTAACCATAGAAGCAAGTAGCTCCAATACCGAAGCTGAAACAAAGGAATTTGTTGAGTTTGAGGAGATTTCTGGAAATGATGTTCATATCAGTCCTGAAGCAGTTCAAGAAGAACCAGGCACACCAGAACTGAGACGCTCCTCCAGAATTCCTAAACCAACCAAGAGTTATTCGCTCTCTTTGCACTACTTGTTGCTGACTGACAATGGTGAACCAGATTGTTATGATGAAGCAATACAGGTGGAGGATTCAGTCAAGTGGGAGTCTTCCATGAAAGATGGGATGAACTCACTTATGTCAAATCAGGCGTGGGAATTAGCTGAATTACCACTAGACAAGAAAGCATTCCATAATAAGTGGGTTTACAGGATCAAAGAAGAGCACGATGGGAGTAAACACTACAAAGCAAGATTGGTTGTCAAAGGTTTTCAGCAAAAAGAAGGTATTGACTACAATGAAATTTTCTCTCCAGTCGTGAAGCTGTCTACAATCAGACTGTTATTGAAAATTATAGCTGTAGAGAATCTACATCTTGAGCAGTTAGATGTAAAGACAACTTTCCTTCATGGTGATTTGGAGGAAGAAATCTATATGAGGTAGCCAAAAGGATTTATAGAGGCAGACAAGAAAAACCCGATATGCAGGTTAAAGAAGAGCTTGTATAGTTTAAAACAAGCTCCTAGACAGTGGTACAAGAAGTTTGATAGCTTCATGGGTAGCATTGGTTTTACCATATGCCAAGCAGATCATTGTTGCTACATCAAGAAGTTCGACAACAACTTCATTATTTTATTGTTGTATGTTGATGACATGCTTGTTGTAGGCTCAGACATGCAAGAGATTATAAACTTGAAGCAAAAATTGTCGAAGCAGTTTGCAATGAAAGATCTAGGCGCTGCAAAGCAGATTCTTGGGATGAATATTAAGAGAGACACAAAGTCGGGGACTTTGATATTATCACAGGCTGAGTACATCAACAAAGTACTCTACAGGTTCAACATGCAAGATGCTAAACCAATAAGTACACCTTTAGGTGTTCATTTTAGACTCTCCAAAGAACAGCCACCAAAGACGGAGGAAGAACGTGCACACATGGTGAAGGTGTCGTATGCCTCAACAATTGGAAGTCTGATGTATGTCATGGTTTATACTAGACCAGATATTGCTCAAGCAATGGGAGCTGTTAGCAAGTACATGAATAATCCGGGCAAGGTACACTGGGAAGCAGTCAAATGGATCCTCAGATATCTGTGGGGTACCACAAACAATCACAAACAAAACACTTTGTTTCAAAGGCGGAGATACGATACTGACAGACTATGTAGATGCTAACTTAGCCGAAAATGTTGACATCAGAAAAAGCACTACAGGTTATGTCTATACTCTTGGAAGTACCGCAGTGAGTTAGGTTTCTCAACTACAGAAGATAGTTTCTCTATCCACAACTGAAGCAAAATATGCCGCTGTTACGGAAGCCAACAAGGAGATGGTTTGGCTCCAAAGTTTCTTGGAAGTGTTAGGAAAGAAACAAGAAAACAATATCTTGTATTGCAATAGTCTAAGTGTTATCCATCTATCTAAGAATCCATCTTTCCATTCCTGGATGAAGCACATACAATTGCGATATCATTTTATCCGTTCTCTTTTGGAAGATGGGATTTTGAAACTTGAAAAGATTAGTGGAGCTCAAAATCCGACAAACATGTTAACAAAGACGGTGACTACGAACAAACTGAAGTTGTGTTCAGCTTCAGTTGGCATGCTAGAATAACAAGACTAGAAATGCTGCTACATTGATCGAGGTGTGAAGACATATTAAAATAAATCTTCAAGTGGGAGATTGTTAAAAAGTCAATAAGTGGCCAACTTGTCTGGCCACTTTCGGTGATTTCGGTGGATGGTCAAATTCGGTGCAGTAATTGTGGAAAATTGGAAATGGTAAAATTCCTCTTTTAGTCCCTAGACTTTAAGGTATTTACAAGATTAGTCCTTAAGCTTCAACTATAAATACCCTAACCCATTTAGCTTCAAAAGCATCCCAAATCATTTCTTTCTCCCAATACTAAAGAGTTTAGAGAGTTTTTTTTGTAAGTTGTGAGTGTTTTGTAAACACCTGTAAATTTTCTCTATTTAGTAAAAGATCTGCAGCAGTCTGGAGACGTAGGCATAATTGGTCGAACTTCGTTATCAATTTCGGGTATTATATTTTCCGCTTTTACTTCGTAATCTCACTAATCTAGTTATAGAGAAATTACTCGTTTAATTCCCAACAGAACCTCTACTGGACAAGCTGATTCAAAGGTTCATAGTGGCTGTTTTATTATGCTGTCTAAAGCAACTAGTACTTTTCTGATCTTGTCTTTCAAATAATATGGATTTGTATGTTTACATTGCAGAATCCTTCTCAAGAATTGTTGAGGAAATATCTAACCTATGCCAAGTTGAACATATTCCCAAGATTTCACGAAAAGGATATGGCCAAGCTTACCAAATTTTATGTTGATCTGCGAAAAGAATCATATGTAAGATTCCTTTTCTTGTTTTTACTTATGATTTCTAAAATGATTTTGCTTCAATGCTCCAATGTTTTGTTAATTATCTATGTAGCATGGACAAGGCGTCCCCATAGCAGTGAGGCATATCGAATCGATGATCAGGATGTCTGAAGCACATGCCAGAATGCACCTTAGGCAGCATGTCACAGAAGATGTGGACATGGCTATACGGGTCCTTCTCGAGTCATTCATTTCAACTCAGAAGTTTTGGGAACAAAAGGCCCCACGAAAGTTATAACTAGAGCTTCACTTCCTCTTGCAAAAACTCTCCATAAAGTGCAACTACCTTTAAAAATGCTATGATGCAGTATGGCTTTTATTTCTTATGAGCTTGTTTAGAAAGTAAGTATGGAGTGTTTTGTTTCTTTTATGGTCCGGTATTCTTGATGCCTGCAAATCTCAAGCATCATTGATGTAGCTATTCCAATGGTTTGGCAGTTTTTAGTTTGTTCTGTTTAGACCTATTCCTTCTGTTATACCTTTTAAACTTCCCCTCATTTTGTAGTTATAGGAATCCATGAGCATTTCTCTGTCAGGCTTTTGCCAGTAAAATATTCAAGAGTGAAATTTGGTTATGCTCATGTGGTTGAATTGTTGATATTTAGATATATTTCGGTTTTTTGAAGGACAAAAGTTGATTGTTTTCATTACTTAAAAAAATGAAATATGCTTGTCATAATGAGGCTGAGAAGAACCCAAAATGTAATTTGCAGAGCTTCAGGCAATACATAACCTTCAAGAAGGAATACCATGGACTGCTCCTTGTACTGCTAAGGGAGCTTGTGAACAATGCATTGTGCTTTGAAGAGATACCTTCTGGATCAGCTCTTGAAGTTTTAGTTTACTGATGATGATAAAGGGCATACGTTTAAGTGACATTTTGTGCAGGCTGAAGAGTATGAAATCAGCAATTTGGAGGCCTTCTTTTCTAGCACTGAATTTAAAGCCTTTTACGAGTTGGACGAACAAAGACAAGTTATCAGGCATCACCTTGTGGACGATGACAAATCATAGCTTGTAAGGTAATGAAGTTCCTAAGCAACTATCACCCTCATCCGGCCATATAGCTTGTGTTCTGATTTTGCAATTGTTAAATGGTTGTCTGATAATTTGCTTAGAACCAAAAAAAGCGATTGTACTATGGACGTTTGATCCGGTGACAACTTCTAGTTGGGATTTACTGATGAACGCTGTTGCTTTTTCTGTTTAATCCGGTTATTACCGTTGGATGAAACCAAAGTTATCAGAGTCAATTGAAATAAAATTGTTTCTTCAAAAAAAAAAATGATGTATTCATTCACCTGCAAATCTGGTATAAATGTTCTGAAACACTACGACATCCGAATGAGTCTAAGACCCATGATGTTACTTGCTGATTCTACTTTTTCCAGTAAGGTAAGATTGATTTGCAGCATCAGAACGCCTGCCTGCCTGCGATTTCACTACAAGTAAATGTCTCTCCAAGTTGTTTATTCTGTAGTGCTATCTCCTATAACTAAATTACATTAAATGTTATCCATATTCATTATTTGTAATCAAAATTAATTAATCACCAAGCGTTTATATTGACCAACATTGAGTTGTTTCAGTTCAACCGATCGTTTGAATTCGATATATGATGATTTCACTATTTGATGAGAGAATGTTATTAATATTGTGATTATTTGATTCTAAGAGATTAGTCTTATATTGTTAAATAAATTGGTTAAAAAACATATTTAATTCACACAATAAAAATTTGAAATTAACTATTAATTGGAGAATTCAATACGCCCAACCATGCTTATATGATGAATAAGTGAACAAGCAATTCCTGTTAGGAAAAAAAACAATTTAATTCATTGAGTGACCTCAGTGGTAAAAAGGAGTGTTATCTAGATGTTTTGGGCTCTAGAGATTTCAGGTTTAAGCAGTTGCGTCTGCAATTGTACGTTGTCAACGATTAAAAAAAGATTTTAAATAAATACTACATTTTATTCACTTCAAACTATTAAATAAAACGAGATCAATCAAGTTTGTCTACTATAAAATTACTTAGTCGAAATCAACTAAGAATATGTGGTTGATCGAGGAGGCGTCGAGAGAACCTTCTCCATCTTCAACTCTTTATTCGTTGAACTTCATGATTGTAGCTATTAAGTTGTGAATGATCTTTAATATTTGCGAATTTGATCTTTATATTTTGTATTAAGTTTTTGACTTAATGATTGTGGGAGAATCATTGAATGTAAGTTACAAGATTTCAATGAGAGTTGTGAGAGAATAATGTCGAGAGATCGAGCTTGTTTTGTAAATATAGTATCATTTAGGTTAGATATCTTGAGATTTATAAAGATACAGTGTCTTGCGTCATCTGAGTGAATTAGCTACCAAGAAAGGTGAAATTTCCTAAAATGTTTGTTACATACATTAACACAATCTCTTCGTCGCAACATAGATAGTGTCTTGACATTGGTATTTAGATTCTACCTTAAGAGTTAATTTAGTTTATGGAATGTAAGATTATTATTGGGAATAATATTACTAGAATATTACATTACTTAATATGTTATTGAAAATGTTGTATTATCTTGTTTGGTTTGTTTGGCATGGACGAAAGATTAAATTATTTGGTTGAAAGAATATAAGATAAAAAATGTATATACCAAATTGTCCTTGAAATATATTTTATTTTTTAACAAGTTAAATTTTCAAAATTAAAGTAAAATAAGAAAGTTCATACATTATTTTTAATTTATATATATATATATATATATATATATTTAATAAATTTGTATACAAATAACTTAATATATATATATATATATATATATATATTATTTTTGTATTTCTTTGATAATATAGAAACATACCTACACAAATATAATTATGTGTTTATTTTTAGGTGCCAAGATATTGGAAGATATACATACTTACAATGGTGTGGGTATGTGTTAAGGGTTATACTTTTTTATTTTAATCACTTATACCGGTGTAAGTATGTGTAGCACCCTAATCCTGTCTGACATGAAGACCAAGGAATTAAAGCGATGCACATAACCACCGAAATGGCTAAACCAAAATTTCTTCTTTTTTTTAAAAAAAATGACATCATAATACTCCTTAACATACCATAATTTGAAATCATGCATGAAAATATAAGTATTTAGGTTTACAAAAGTGAGGAGCTCCTAATACTTCTCAAAATAATACATATCAAGTATTTCAAAATAGAGTTACGACTCGAATATACGAAGGTCTATGAATCGTGTAACCCCTAGACTCAGCCTATACGATACGACTAGATCTAGTTGATTACAATAAATTTTTTCCAAAACAATTTTAAAATTATGATAAAAAATATAAAGTCAAATCGAATAATATCAAGCATAAAAGTCTGCGAGTAAAACAAAATATCACATAACCGGTGTTGAAGTAATACAAATATAAAAAATAAGGTAAAATACACCATAAAACCAGTGTATCCAAAATATAGGCACGTGTCAACAAAATAAAGGTAGTTCGGAAGATTAAAACATTACAATAAAATACATTGTACGGAATGTGTCGATCATTCAATTGTCTGGTCTCGGGTGTCTATCCAATAGTATCTAAAAGGGGAAAGTTTGGGGAGTGAGCTAGAGAGCTTAGTTTATTCCAATAAGTGCATAATAAAACATGTAGATAAGTTTCAAAATCAGTTCAATAGTATAATATGAAAGTAACAATAAGGTTTCATCAAAATGGTTTACTTATCCTCCAACCATACACCATATGCAATCCCATAGAACGACATCCAGGACTTATCCTAGGCCCATTGGACTTAAGAGCCAACCTAAGAGAGAACCTTTGGTCCATAAGGACTTACCCTAACCGAAGCATAGGAGCCACCTGAAGGGAGTGCCCTCAAGTCCATAAGGACTTACCCAATGTACAAAGCAAAGAAGCCACCCTAAGGGAGTGCCTTAGAGTCCATAAAGTCTTACCGCTCGTCCATTGGGCATATGAGCCCACACATAGATCACCTTAGGTCCATAAAGAATTACTAGCTTGATCAGAGTTGAACATATAGAACTTCAGAATACATCCTAGAAGTACCCCGGTAAAATAGTTTCATACATTTCCCAAAAATCAATAAATATCATAAAACAGAGAACATGTATTACACAAACAATAATTTAAGCATTCAAGAAATCAATAAAACAAAATTATTCTTTCAAATAAGATAAATTATTAAGTAATCAAATCATATTAGACAATTACATTTCAAAACAAATATAATAGTCATATGCACATGAGAATTTAAAACAAATATTTAAATCAGTATGTAAAACATAGGGAACACACCTCACAAAAAAGAGTCACTCTCGGAGATCTACTGAGCACCAGTCTCGATATGCTCTACATTAGTACACGATCCTAAATCATATCAAAATAGTGTTCTTATCAGAGTAATACACTAAACTGAGTATGTATTAAGGTTACAGAACTATACGGGTAATCACAAGCTCATACGGATGAACAGATCGAGAAAAAACATGTCGAGCATATGAGCGATCGGGAGAATCACGAGTACCTTCAATAATTAACACCATAAATCAGTTATTGTCTATAATTTATATTTCTATAACCAAATTAATTAAAATACATATGCATGTAAGGGCTCAAGGTTCGATTAGGAAGTTTCGGATTAGAATTTGGTAAAATGGACTACGAATTCAAACTCAAGACGTCAATAAATTAAATACAACTTTTCGAAAAAGATTAATTTTTTGGTCAAAGTCAACACTAGTCAAAGTCAATGGGTCTACTCAACAATCATGTTAAAAGTCAACAATTTAAGGGTTAGTTGTACGGTTATGCCAGTTTGGTTAGATCGGTCGGTTTAGGCAGACATAGTTCAAACTGATTTGGGTTGTTCGGTCTGACCAGACCGATTCTAGGAAAACTGGGCTGAAGGACAAGGCCCGTATGAATGTGTGACGGCAAAGACAATGTTAGTTGAGGTCGACCAATCGCTCTAGAAGCACTTACAGAAAAAAATTATATCAACCCAAAAATCCAGCCAATATCAAAGAAAACTAAACGGAAAAAGAGATTGAAAACTCATCCAACAACGGTCAGAGAACGAGTGGTGGAAAAGTGACAAACCTAGTTAGGTTTTAATTGGAACTATCTCGAGAACCCAATGGTGAGGGCGGTGGACTACACGAATGACCCGATCGGTCTGAAACAACAAAAATTGAGAGAGCCTTTTGGATTTTCCCAGTCCAACTTTGAACCCTTCCTAATGACTAACGATAGCAGTTCACAAAGCGTGGTTAGTAGGGTTATGGTCAGACGAGGGTAGCATCTACTCTGTTATCGGCGGTGACACTTATCGACAAACAGTGTTTGAGATTGAAAATTGGCCTTCGAATGAGTTTCTCATAATTTCACGTGTGAACAATGGTTAATTGGGATGAATGTTGGTTGGGGTTTGATTGGGGAACGCTATCGGTGTTGCTGGTGGTGTTAGTGCAAGCCACTGCTGACTAAAGGTGACCCAACAGGGATGACATAGCTCGAGGATTGAGGAAATTTCTAAGAGCTTGTGTTTTTCTAATGAATAAAATTTTTGGACGAAGTGAAGCTACTTACCTTTAAATAAATCATTTGAAAGATATTTTCTCTACTTACCACCAACTACAGTGGCCTAGCCTAGATGGCTAAGGCATAGGGAGAAGTGTTTGGAGGTTACGTGTTTAAAACCCTTTATTCACATGATTTGATTTTTATTTTTGGAATTCAAAGGAAAAATAGGTAAATCAGGGTTTAAGTACCTAAACTTTCTTGAGAACATGAAAACTAACCTATTATTTCAAAACTCATAATTTAGTCCTCAAATCAATTTACTTTATTATGATAATTAAAACTCAATATTTTTGGATTGTGACAACTCTTCTCACTTTCAAAGAATTTCGTCGTAGAAATTCATCTAAGTTGGACCAATGCCAAAACTAGGTATCTACTGATTCCTTCAAAGGAAAAAAACCTAAGTACTATATCCACGATAATAGACCATCTTAATAAACTCGAACGGTAGCGATGGACACAATATTCAAAATTAGAATTTGAAGGTTTTGGGATATGGAACTTGAATTATAAGAGGGGTCAAAATATAGTAATGCATGGTAGGAAACAAAATAAATAATAAATGTACCTACAGTAATCTCTGGCTCATCTCGATCATCAAAACGTCTAATGGCGTAAACAAGGGTAGGTTATCTCACCTCAGATTAAAATGGTCCTCTACTCTACTATGATCAGACTCTACCGTCAATCCTAGAAATAGATCCAGAAGTCCTTCCCTGATTATGACTTCTAGTTGGGGTCTGAACAGAAGCTTGAGAACAGGTAGGGGTCAAAGTAGATGTACGCTCAGAAAAGACTGGATGCATATTATTCTTAAGGAAATGCTCATTAGACCCACAATGATAACAAGTACCCATCTTTTTCCGACACACCCCTCTATGATGATTACCACAATGCTAACAACTCGACAAAGGAGAGAAACCCAAATAATTGCTTCAAGTAACTTCTGAGGGTGGGGGTGATGCACAACTTGAATCAGTATTACTCTTCTCAGAAGCAACCAATCGAGTCTTCTTCTCAGGAAGTGTAGAGGACTCAAATATACCTGAAGGTCTCTTATACCATTCTCGATCTACGACTCGTAGGCTCAACTTTCTCAACATATTTCATTCTCCCTACTAGAACATCGAACACCTCATTCTGATGGGTCACTACCTGTCTACGCATCTCGTATCTAAGTCCCTGAGCAAACTTACGACACCTATCACTCTCTGTAAGTACCAGACTATAACCATATTTTATCAGCTTTAAGAACACGATCTTATGCTCAGAAACAATCATATCCCCCTGAACTAAGTCCTAAAATTATTGTCGTCTTTGCATCAGATATCGTTTTCCTAGGAAACAACTCCTAAAACACTCCATAAAGAAATCCCATGTTAGACTATCAGCTGGAACACTGCTCGCTACAGACTCCCACCAAGTATAGGCATTCCCATCCAGCATAGACGCAACTCTCAAGTATCTCTTCAAATGATGTAAACCTAACTGATCCATACGTCTCTTAGTGTCGCAAAGCCAGTCCTCAACCTCAGTTAGAGCTCCATAATAGAGCCTCTAAAGGTAATAACTCCATTAGCTATTAGGGTCTATCGAACGTAGGAAATCTATAACTATCATCTAGCGGGTCAATAAACCTAATCGCTTGACCTCACCCACGACCAAGTTGATGACCTCGCCTAACATTCATTTGGGAGAATCTTGAGGTTCACTACATAAAATAAAACCTAGGATTAGAGTTGGCACTTGGAGTCTCGTACTCGGTTAAATTCATAATAATTTGGTGACATGACCTTCATAACTTGATTTTGTAAAACATTTCAAAATCGTGTTCTTACTTCGGACTCATCCACAGTCTGAGATTTGAAAACCAAAAGCTATGATACCACTTATTATAACCCCTAAACCCAACCTATATGATATGACTAAATCTAGCAGATTATAATAAAAAAATTTATAATAATTTTAAAATCGTAATAAAAAATATAGAGTCAAATTGACTAATTAAAGGATAAAAGTATGCGATTAAAACAAAAACATCCCATAACAGGTGTTGAAGAAATACATATATCAGAAATAAGGTAAAATACATTATAAAACCAGTCAAACCAAAATATAGGCACATATCACTAAAATAAAGGTAGTTCGGAAGATGAAAACATTACAACAAAATACACTGTACGAAATGTGTTGATCCTCCAAGTGTCTGGTCTGGGGTGCCTATCCATCAGTATCTGAAAGAGGAAAAGTTAGAGAAGTAAGCTAAGGAGCTCAGTGTGTTCCAATGAGTTCGAAATAAAACATGCAGATAAGTTTCAAAATCAGTTCAATAGTATAGTATGAAAGTGACAATATGTTTTTAATCAAATGGTTTAGTTACCCTAAAATTGTACACCATATGCAGTCCCCTAGAACTGCATCCATAAGGACTTATCCTAGGCCCATTGGACCTAGGAGCCAACCTAAGAGAGCAACTTGGGTCCATAAGGACTTACCCTTTTCGAAGTGTAGGAGCCATATAAGGCAAGTGCCCTCAGGTCCATAAGGACTTACCTAATCCACAAAAGCCACCTAAGGGAGCGTTAGGGTCCATAAGGTCTTACCACTATGCCCATAAGCTCACCCATGGGTTGCCTTAGGTCCATAAGGAATTACCAGTTTGATCAGAGTTGAACCTACAGAACTTCATAATACATCCCAGAGGTACCCTAGTAAAACAGTTTTAGTTAATTTCAAAAAAATTAGTAAATATCATAAACCAGAGAACATGTATCAATCAAACGATAATTTAAAAAATAGTAAAATAGAAATCAACATTCAAGAAATCAGTAAAACAAAAAATATTCTTTCAAATCAGATAAATGATTAAGTAATCAAATCATATCAGAAATCACATTTCAAATAAGATATAATCATCATGTGCACATGAGAATTTAAAACAAATATTTAAATCAATATGTAACACAAAAGGAATACACCTCGCAAAAATGGTCAATCTGAGAGATCTACAGAGCACCTGTCTCGTTACGCCCTACATCAATACAAGATCCAAATCATGTCAGAACAATGATATTATTGGAGTAATATACCAAATCGAGTATTTATTAGGGTTACAGAACTATAAGGGTAATCACAGGCTTACACGATTGAACAAATAGCGAGAATCTTGAGTACCTTCAATAATTACAACCATAAATCAATTATTGTCCATAATTTATATTTCCTTAACCAAATTAATCAAAAACACTTATGCATATTTGGTCTCAAGGCTTGATTTGGAAGCTTTTGGTTTATAATTTGACAAAACAGACTTCGGGTTCGAACTCATGACTTCAAAAAACATAAAAAATGACTTTTTGGAAAGAGTTGACTTTTGGTCAAAGTCAAAGGAATTGTCAAAGATCAGGTCAAAAGTTAATAATCTAGGGGTTAACGGTACGGCTATACTAGTTTGGTTGGATTGGTCGGGTCGGGCAGACATGGTTCAGACTATTTTGAGCCAATTTGGTCTGACCAGACTGGTTGTAGAAAAACTTGGGCTGAAGAACAAGGCCCATGAGCATGGGCGACGTCGAGGATAGGGTCGTTGAGGTCGATCGATCATTCGAGAATTATTTATACACCAAAAATAGTTCATATTAACCTAAAAAGTCCAGCCAATATCAAGGATAACTAAACATTAAAATAGATTGAAAACTCACCCAACAACGATCGGAGAATGAGAAATGGAGAAACAAACCCAGTCGAGTTTTGACTGAAACTACCCTAAGAAACCAATAGTGAGGGCGGTAGACTGCACGGACGACCCAATCAGTACAAAATGGAAAAAACTAATAGATCCTTTTTGGATTCTCTCAACCAAGCTTCAAACCCTTATCTACGACTAATGACAATAGTTCATGGAGTATGGTCAGCTAGGTTATGATCGGACGACGGTGACACTC